GGCTTTCATAAGATCTACGTTCAATGCATTCATACAGAGGGCCTGGTTTGAGCAGGTTTGGCTTGCATGCGATCGTCATTTGATAATCGGGTCCCGGGGCATTGCATACGGCTCTGGCGTAACGATTCATAGATCAAACGTGCATCATTTCGCATGATTTGGTCATGGTCTTGAGGTCACGTTTTGCCCATGACAATTCTCCCCGACTTAATTTTTCACGTCCCGTGAAAATTCGTTACGTAGGTCTTAAAGGTCTTCGAGGGGCACCTGATCACGGTTTCTTCTCTTAAGGCGCAGTAAGATAAAAAAATTTTTTTTTTTTTTTTTTTTTTCTAGTCTAAAACAAATAAACTAAAACTAAAACAAAACGACACAACAAAAACACGTCCACGTCCAATTCGAAGGGAATCAACAAAATTACCCTTGTCATACGCCCTTAACCCCGCGTACAATCGTCATGCGCGTCCACATACAATCCAAATACAAAAAAGAAAATACTAATAAAGAAAATAAATTTTTTTTTTTTTTTTTTTTTTTTTTTTACTCAGTCCTTTCGTAATATTTTTTTAATAGGCTTACGTTGAACGGTGCAACGATGACCTTTCCATCCAGTGTCTTTAATTTGTAGGCATCATTGGGAAGTTTATCGTGAATGTAATACGGGCCTTTGCACTTTGGGGAAAATTTCTCACTTCGAGAGTATTTCTTGGCGGCATCTTCCAACAGAACTTTGTCTCCGATTTCAAACCCAGAGATAATCTGGTGACGTTGATCATGGTAGGTCTTTTGTTTTACCTGATTTTGGCGGGTGCATTCAATAGCCCGATTTCTAATAATGGGAACCTGGTTTATTAGCTCAAAAGTTCGATGGAGTATCGTCCCTTCTAATAGTTCTTCCGCACAGCCAGGGTGGATAGGCTGTTTCGCTTCACGGCCATACACGAGGAAGAATGGTGACATTTTGGTGGTTGGATTTTTAGCGGTACGGTATGCAAAAAGGATCGGAGGAATAAGTAAGTCCCAATCAAGAACATTCCCAACCAATTTTCCTAGAGAATCACACAACGTCCTGTTAAAGCGCTCAACAAGACCGTTGGTACTGGGATGGTATGGAGTGGAGAAGTCCTGTTTCACATTGATTTTCGCCAGCAAGGCCTTTATTACTGTGTTTCGGAAGTGAGTGCCACGGTCAGATAGGATTCGTTCGGGGCATCCATGGCGACAGATTATGTCGTCATACAAAAAATCGGCTACCGTCTGGGAGTCTGCAGTCTGTACGGGTCGTGCTTCGGGCCAACGGGTCATAAAATCCGTTGCTACTATGATATACCGGTTCAAACGGGCGTTCGTGGTAGTGGGCCGACGAAATCAATGCTGATTTTGTAGAAACAGGGATTAGGTGCAGGGGGCCATGCCCACGGGGTTTGGTTCTCCTCTGACATGGGTCACATGTTTGGACATACTTTCGTATGTCGGAATACATTTGCGGCCAAAAGTAGACATCACGGATTTTTGTGAACATGCTTTCTTTATTGAGGTGCCCTCCCAGGGGGTGAGTATGCACAAGGAACAGTATTGGGTCAATTTCGTGCTTTTGTAGCACCCTTAATAAATTCCCCTTTTTCCTTCGATCCTTTTTATATAGAAGGCCTCCTTTCAACCCAAAGAATTCGCTTTTCTTCTGAATCCTTCGTCGTTGGGTTTGTTCGAGGTTGGCTGGTAAGTATCCGTCTTGCAGGTATCTCTTCAATTCGTTGTAATGTGTTGCCTCCATGTTCGTTATAGTCACTGTGGAAAAAAAAACTTCCTCCCCCTTTTTTTTTCTTTTTATTATATATATATATATATTATTAATTATTTATTTATTATTATTATTTTTTTTTTTAATGTTTGTGCAGGTAGGTTGATGATTTTTTAAGCTACATGCGCCAGGACACCGGCAACCTGGTCTGGATTCTTTTTGCAAAAACCGGATTTAGTTTGTTTTGATCTTTCCGTTTTTTTTTTTTTTCTTTCTTTTTTTTTTCTTTTTTTTTTTTTTTTTGTTTAATTTATTGGCGTGTTGTCGGTTGGGTACTAATCTTTCAGTTTTTCTTTTTCTTTTTGTTTTTCACAGGTTTGATCACAAGTTTCAGTCGGGGTTACAGGGAGTCTCGACAAGGCATCCACGTTACGGTGCACATGACCACGGCGATGCTGTATCTTGAAGTTATACGGTTGCATCCGTAATACCCAGCGAGCACGACGACCGGTTAATTCAGCGGTTTGAAGCCATTTCAAGGCTGCGTGATCAGTAACAACA